GGAGGGCGCAGCACCGAGGGTTGCGATCCCGTTGCCGGTCCCGGTCCAGTACGGGTGGGACACTGAGGGTTGCGGTCCGTTGCCGGACACGAAAAAAGACAAAAAGGAAAAAAAAAAAAAAAAAAAAAAACATTTGGTATACTCAATAAATGACAGATAACATGTAAAGGCCTTGGAACACAGAAAATGGGTAATAATAAATGTGTAATAAATAAGCCCGTTCTTGTTTATCCTAGGTAACATAGTATCAGTGATGATTGTTAAGGTAGAAAGTCATGAAATCCTAACCATTCATAACATCTTTCCAATCCATCTCCCCCTTTCCAATCCCATTGCTGCCACTCTTACTCAAGTTCTTTCTCTCACACACCTCCAATAGCCCAATGCCTTCCTATCTCTTCTTGATATTCTCCCCTCGGTCTGCCCACTACATGGTTGCCAGATTAAGATTCCTAAAACACTATTTTAATATGTCATTTCATCCAACTTAACATTCAAAGCCTTTCAGATTGGCTGCAATGTGCTAGTCTGCCTTATCAGCACATATTCTTACCCAGTCAAACTGGATCCCCTGCAGTGCACCAATATGCTTTTCTACATATGTCATCTTTTCTATATCCATTTCATTTCCTTTCTCTGCCTCTCAAAATACTCTTTCAAGTCTCAGTTAAAACTTTTTATTCCTCCTTATGCTCTTTCCCGACAGTCTCATGTAAAAGTTCCTGCTTCCTCTGAATCCTGGGTAATCCTCATTGTCTTACCACTGAACTGGTATAAACTACCTTTTATTCCAGTTATCTTTTTCTTATCTGAGCAAAGACAAATCAGGACTATGAAAGCAATCTTCATACATATAAATGAGTACTTATAGAACAAGGATTGTATAGACTCTAGAAAATGTGAAATCAATGAAGAGAACATACAGATTGAAGAAATAACTATGAAAAACCCAGAACTGCCTGAAAAGAGAATGCCCTGTCTTAAAGGTCAGTAGAGGTATTTGTCACCTGTGAGTAGAGGTGTTTCTAGAATATTTTGAATGGATACCAGTCAAGGGTGGTTCTGAGGGTATACCTATATTACCTTTTCCTTAGAAGAGCTCTAAGGAAGCCATATAATATATTAAGACTATAGGTTTTGGTCTCAGGCAAACTTGAATTTGAATTCTGGCTCTAATACTTATTTGCTATGTGTCCTTGTACAAAAATACTCAATCTTACTAGGCCTGTCTCCTCATCTATAAAATGAAGATAATACTTTCCTCTTCAGGTTGTCATTATGATTAAATAAGGTAAGGTATATAAATGGATAGCTTTTTGTCTGGTACCACACCTATAGCTACAGATATTATTAATACTCTTGTTCTCCAATTCCTAATGCTTCAGATTCAACGACTTACAGGTGCTGTGTAAAATAAGTTCTCCAGGAGACTCTGGTCATACTGAGGGTCATTCAGCTCACTGCTGCAATACACTTCACTCCCAGGAGATGGGGAATCTGGAGGAGAGCCTAATCCATTCCAGAAATGACCTTGGGATAATTCAGTGCTGTAGAGATAAGAAAAACAAAGCAGAAAGTCTTTAACAGAAGTTTCAGCCGAACTACTCTTTCTTTAGTGATACTTTTAAAGTTATAAACATGGAAGAAGATACGTTAAAAGACTCACATTAGGGCCAGCCCGTGGCTCACTCGGGAGAGTGCGGTGCTGATAACACCAAGGCCCCGGGTTCGGATCCCACATAGGGATGGCCGGTTCGCTCACTGGCTGAGCGTGGTGCTGACAACACCAAGTCAAGGGTTAAGATCCCCTTACCCGTCATCTTTTGGATCCCACATAGGGATGGCCGGTTCGCTCACTGGCTGAGCGTGGTGCTGACAACACCAAGTCAAGGGTTAAGATCCCCTTACCCGTCATCTTTTGGATCCCACATAGGGATGGCCGGTTCGCTCACTGGCTGAGCGTGGTGCTGACAACACCAAGTCAAGGGTTAAGATCCCCTTACCCGTCATCTTTTGGATCCCACATAGGGATGGCCGGTTCGCTCACTGGCTGAGCGTGGTGCTGACAACACCAAGTCAAGGGTTAAGATCCCCTTTCCCGTCATCTTTTGAAAAAAAAAAAAAGACTCACATTAAACAGAAGACTACTGGATAAATATTTTCCAATTATATTCATATTCCCTCTCCTCTGGGATGCCAAAAACTGGTATTCAAAAACACACTACTGACACTGATTGTGATCTCACTCACTTATTCAACAAACATTTACTAGTAACCTATTATGTGCTAGGTCCTGGATTATAATAGAGATGGCTAAGCTAACACAATCTCTATTCCTGTGGTGTTTAGGGTGTAGGAGGGAAAAAAAAAAAGGTAAACAACTATAATTTAATAAGTTAAATGTTACATATTGTTTTTGTGAAAAAATAGCTAATTCATAAATATGCCTTCTTCCATTTAGCAAAAATATGTATATTTAGGATTAATTATGACAAGATTAGTTCTATGTGGGATATAAAAATGAATATGAATAAAACACAACAAATAATTCATAAGCTAATAGGAAGATAAGCATAAAAATAACTAAAAACTCAGAATGTGTAAGAAATAATTTCTCCTTTTTTTTGGAAGTCCCGTACCATTCTGGTACATTTTTTGATAGCAATTTTTACTTTCTACCTTTTCTTTCAGGTCCTTGTATAAATTCCATATTTTTCTCAAAGTGTAAGCTCCCTGAGGGCAAAGTATGTGTATATTTTGCGGTTTGTTTCTCCCACAGTAAATAGCACTTAATGCACATCTGTTAATGAACTTAATGAATTTTTAATGAACATCTGCTGTTTAAAAATAAAAAGAAATATTTATTAAATATTATGTGCCAAGCACTGTGCTATACATTTCATTTTTCTTTCCCCTTTGCTTCCCTTTTAAGTTGGCTGCTATATTTTTTCCTCTTAATTTCTCAAGAAAATAGTACATAATCAATACCTTCAAGTTAGATAATCTTCCTACACTACTTTGTTTTGTTTTGTTTTTATTTTTTTCCTACACTACTTTGAACCAGCAGATATTCAATAAATGTTCCCTTCCTCACCTTTCCTCAATCTACATCAGAGTATCTCAACCTTAACACTACTGATATGTTGGGTCAGATAATTCTTTGTCACTGGGGTTGCACTTTGGACACCTGGCCTCTACTTACCAGACGCTAGTAGTACTCCCTCAGTTGTGACAACCCAAAATATCTCCAGACATTACCAGATGTACCACTGGGTGGAGGTGGGGAAGAATCCCCCCACCCCTCAGTCGAGAACCACTAATCTATGGTAATCTCTCTCAAAGGTCAGAACAACTTATTGCCAAAATCCGACAACCTCCCAATCTACAGGGATGGCTCCTCTGCAGCGTCTGAGTACTGCTCTTTTCTGAAACTCTACTTCCTGGTATTCTACATAACTCTCTTATTTATGGCTTATGCTCTCCCCAACCCATGTTGCTTGCTTTCTCACCCTTTGCACATCCTTAAAGTCATGGAGATCCCCACTGTTCAGTATATAATTCTCCACTTTCTAGTTTCTTTTTTTGAAATTAGCATCTCTTTGAGTTTATTCACCAGTCTATGACACATTAAATATGCTGGAATTTGCCTGTGTTCCTTGACCATAAGACAAGCCCACTCTCAGCACTACTCTTTTCTTCTTAAACATAATTTTAAATCAAAGAATACATGTACCTATTTTGAAAGTCAAATAGGACTAAATGGCTTATAATTTAAAAACAGTAGCTGCCTAACTCCTCAGAGGGAATCACTTTCAACTTCTTTAGATGCTTCTTCCTGTATTTACCTCCCTATATATATATGTTTTTTGCAATGCTGAAAAAGGTCACTGTATTTCTGCCAGCCATGTATAACTCCCTATTTCTAAGTGACATATGTGTACTGTTATTTTCTAATTTTTCGCTTTTTTGGGGGGGACAGGTGGCTGGTCAGTATGGGGATCTGAACCCTTGACCTTGGTGTTATAATGCTGCGCTCTAACCAATTTCACTTTTACAAATGATGTATGGACTTCCTATTATGAAAAATAAAGGATCCACTTTCTTACGCCATTATTCTTGGACACACATTTCCCTTTCATCCATTCATCAGCTGATGAATATTTGGGTTTTTTCTATTTTTTGATTTATGAATGATGCTGCTATGAACATTTATGTACACATTTTTGTGTGGATTTATGTTTTTATTTCCCTTGGATGTATATAGGAGTTGCTTGCTGGGTCATATGATAAATCTATGTGTAACAGTTTGAGGAACAGATAGACTATTTACCTCAGTGGCTGCACCTTTTTGCATTCCCACCAGCAGTGCACAATGGTTCCAAATTCTCCACATCCTTATCAACACTAGTAGGTGTGAAGTGGTATCTCCTTGTTTTGATCAGCATTTCTCTGATAAATAAAGGTGTCAAGCATCTTTTCATGTGTATATTGGCCATCTGAATATCTTCTTTGGAGAAATGTTCATTCCAATCCACTGCCCATATTTTTAATTGAATTATTTGTCCCTTAATTATTAAGTTATATGAGTTCTTTATATACTCTAAATATAAGTCCTTTATAAAATTTGCAAGTATTTTTTCCCATTCTGTGGTTTCTTTCCACTTCAATAGTTTCCTTTAAAGCACAAAATTTTAAAATTTTAGTGAAGTCCAACTTATCTACTTTCTCTTTTGTTTGTGCTCTGGTGTCATATCTAAGAATCTTTTCCCAAATTCAAGGTCATAAAAATCTACCTCTGTTTTCTTCTGAGGTTTCATAGTTTTACCTCTTCCATTTAGCTGTTTGATCCATTCTGATTTAATTTTTGTAAGTGGTGTGAGATAAGGGTCCAACTTTTTTTGCATGTGGCTATCCAGTTGTCTCAGCATCATTTGTCAGAAAGACTATTCTTTCCCTCTTAAATGGTCCCTTGTTGAATATCAGCTGGCCAGACACGTAGGCTTATTTCTAAACTATCAATTCTATTCCACTGATTGATATGTCTGTTCTTCTGTCAGTACCACACTGACTTGATTAGTGCTGTTTTGCAGTAAGTTTTAAAATTGGGAAGTATGAGTTCTCCTACTTTTTTCTTTTTCAAGATTGTTCTGGCTATTCTAGGTTCCTTGAAATTTCATGTGAATTTTAGAAATAGCCTGTCGATTTCTACCAAGTCAGCTGGGATTGTGATAGGTTCTGTTGAACCATGAATATGAGATGTTTTCCCATTTATTTAGACCTACTTTGATTTCTTTCAACAATGTTTTGTAGTTTTCAGAGTTTGAGTTTTACACTTTTGTTAAATTTATTCCTAAGTATTTTATTTTTTTTGATGCTACTGTAAATGGAATTGTTTTCTTAATTTATTTTCAGATTGTTTGTTACAAGTATATAGATATACAATTGATTTTTGCATATTGATCTCATATCCTGCAACCTTGCTGAGTCTCTTTATTAGTTCTAATAATTTTTTAGTGGATTTTTTAGAATATTCTACAAGCCAGATCACGTCATGTGTGAACACAGATATACATATTTTTTCCTTTCCAATTTGGATCCCTTTTATTTATTTATTTTTCCTGATTAATTGAGCCAGCTAGAACCTCTAGTGCAATGTTCAATAGAATTGGTGAGAGTGGAGGGTTTGCCAGTTAGCTCAGCTGGTTAGTTAGAGCATGGTGTTGTTAACACCAAGGTCAAGGGTTCAGATCCTCTTACCAGCCAGCCACGAAAAAAAAAAAAGAAAAAGAATTAGTGAGAGTGGACATCCTTGTTTTTTTCTTTCAACATTAAGTATAATGTTTTTTTTTTTTTTTTTTGTTAAATT